TGAATTTTGATTCCCTATTGCGGCCCCACTCTTAGCCCGGGGGCCATAATTTGAACAATTTAGAATGTAAACTATCTCAGAAAAGGTTGCACATAAGTTTCACATTTTCTAGCCCAGTGGTTCTTGAGAATATGATATTTTAATTGACTCACCCTATTTTTGTGTTTTCTTTATTATCTCCCCTTAGAATGGGGGCTTGGACCTTTATTTTAACAGTTTCATCCCCTTGACCCTTTGTAAAGATTTGTGAAATGTTTTCTACCAACTTTGGTAAAAATTGACCAAGTGATTCTTGAGAAGAAGTTTATAATGTGGAAAGATTACAAACAGACGGACGGACAACGGGTGGTGAGGAAAGCTCAGCTGAGCTAAAAACAAGAGAGAAAATCCAATAGAATGGTCTCCAGATTCACTTCCATAATTACATAATATTTAAAATATTCCTTATTGATGTCAGGTCAAAGGTCAAGGTCATAGAGATGCATATTGTTAAACATTGTTAAAGTTGAGAACATAAATTTCTTGAATTAGCTTGCAATATGTTGAACTTTACTGTCAACATACTTTTTTCAGACCATTTGTAGATTTATGAAATATTATTTCAATATTTTTTTCGAAAATTATATGCATTCCGAAGCAGTAGAGAAAAAGTGTAAATTGCATCCCTTTATATTTCATAATCAATAATTAAGACATTTGAGTGAAGTTTCAGGTACTGCATCTAAGATATTCCAGGATGAGCGATTGAAAAGTTCGTCCGGGGGATGTAATCAAACATACATAGAATGTTTGCTTTATAACATAAACAAATTTACATATATTATTTACCACTTAAAGACATACATGTCCTTATTTCAAGAAATTGACATTAGAGCATTAGGTTCTTATTGAATATATTCACCATTTTCTTTGATTAAAGGTAAAGTGGCAATGTTTGTTGACAAAAAACCCACAGTAAATTCAAATCGAGACTCCTGCTCGATTGCAAAGATAAGTAAAATAAGGCATTAATATTCACATTTTATAATTAGCTCATAGTCATATTCTGCTGATAACGACGGAGAAGGCCGAGGTGTGGAATATAATCACCTAAATTATACTTTTTACGAGTTGATGGTATCAACTCATGTTATGTGACTTGTAAGGGATTCCCCAATGTATCGAAACTAATCACTTTTTCATTTGAGTATTTTGCGTTCGGGTTCTTGTATAATATTGGTTTATTTACAGTTTTCATTATCTACAGAACAAGAATATGTTTCCTGATATGCTTTGAAGTGTTTATAAACATAAATATTTATTATCAATTTTATTGGAATTTGTGTCCATCCGCAAAAGAAAATAGTGTTAGGGACATGCGGTCAACAAAAGTGACATATCCTGCAAACAAAATTTTGATTTATATATCAATAAATGTTTTATATAATAAGAAGTATTTTGAAAACAATTTTTTAAAGAAAATTCACAAAATTGAACATTGTACAAACCAGGTTATTTTTAAAAGATTGACGTGCCGGTGGTATATAAATAAACTAATTCTTGCGCTGTTATGCTAGTGAACAGAGCAGGTTTCCCGCGCTAGTGATAAATCGTTCAACACAGAGAACACTGCCTATGATTGTAAACAAAGCGAGAAGTTTGCAGTAAAGGAGGTCACAGTAAACCAACTACTAATCTCAAAGAAATGAGATGTACCAGTAAAACAATTTTTAAATTAAAGTTCTTATTTCTTGTGCAAGCAAAAAAAGATTTCAATTGCTTCAAGGGAAATTTTTTTCAGCAGCGGACAACTTTGTGCTCCAATTTCTTTTTCCCTGTTTAAAACCTTGTCTTCTACAATCTAGATCTGTTTCACAGCAAGCTTTAAATACAGTAATGGTCACTTAACACGTACGCCTGTGATTCTTATCTCATTAATTGTTGGCACAACACTGGAAAGTGTTTTCTTTAATATGTCCAGCTGTGTTTTGCTATCAGATGCTGGCCATGTTATAGAGTGAATTAATAGTACTGAAGGCAATAAATAAAAAGAAAAACAAAACAAAACAAAAAAAAATTAAGTGGGTGTTAATGATCAATTAAATGTGAAATGCATATTTATAAATGTGAAAAGATCAAGAAATCAAATTAATTCAACAGTAGATAGATCATGTAAATAGTCAATATCATGCCATTGTGATAAATTTAAAGTCTTCAGTTGAAAAGCTGAAAGAATTGAAATTTTTTAACGTGCATACTTGTATCAGTGAAAGTCAAGTAGTTGAATTTCAAGAAAGGCTAAGCCGAGAGAAATGATATATAAAATGTGCATATCAATTAAAGTCAAGTAGTTATATTTCAAGAGTGACTAAACCAAACGAAATGACATATAAAATGACCATTTCGGTTAAATGTAAAGAAGTTCAATTTCAAGAGTATAGCGTAATCAAGAGAATTAAAATATTTATTGTGCATATCAATGATCATAAAAGACAGAGGGTTGAATTTCAATAGTAAATAAATCAAGAAAATTGAATTATGTAATATACATATAAATGAGTGGCTAAATCAAGAGAATTGAAATACCAAATATGCATGTAAATTTTGAAAGACAAGGAGTTGAATTTCAATAGTAACTAAATCAAGAAAATTGAATTATGTAATATACATATAAATGAAAGTAAAAGATATGAATTTTAAGACTGGCTTAATCACGAGAATTGGAACATATTGATGTGCATTAAAAATGTCAAATTGTTTGTCAATTTAAGAAAGCAATAAAAAAATATTCAATGAGCATGTTGATGAAATAATTCAATTTGCGCTATTTGTAAATAATAATTCCCTACTTGTAATACTATTGTAGGTTTGGCCTATTAGTTTGAGATATGTGTTTAAAACTTTTTCTTGTTTTTTTTTTTTTTTTTTTTTTTTTTTTTTTTTTTTTTTTTTGTCTACTTAGTTGTTTTAATTCTGAAATATGATTTTACAAGAGTTGTGCCATTTTTCCTTATTTGAAATTTCAAGTCACTTGATATATGATATTTCTGTCAAATGATATCGAGTGCCAAAAACTGTTCTCGGTAGTTTTAATGATGATAGTCTGTGCTCTGTGACCATTTCGATGGTGGTATCCTTTAATATTTTGTAAAAATACAAATTATTTAAATGCAAGCTACATTGTCATTTTACGGAAAATCCAAAAACTAACTTAGTATTATTTGTTTTGTATGTTTAAAGGTTCGATTTGTGATAAATTATTATACATTCCAGTAGATATTAAAAAAAATATATACATGTTAAAAATTAGGGATGGCAATCGATTACAGAATTGCTAACCGGTTAACCGCAAGACGTTCCGACTGATTAACCGGTTAATCGTATCAAAATTCACGTTTTCTTGACAATTGCTTTTCAAGTATAGCTCTGTCCATATACACAAATAGACCCAAATAAGACGATAGAAGTTAAAACATTCCATAAGTCTTGATTCTGGATCAGAAAAATACGGTACATATTTTTTATTTCAATTTCAGTCGACAATAAAAATTGAGAAAACCATGAAAAAAAAAAAAACCCTAAAAAATCTTTGATAATTTTCCAGAGCAGATGTCATAAAAGTTCTTTCTGCATTTTTACTATGATAACCAAAACTACATGTGAACTCTATATAGCCCTTAATTTACAATGTTTGTTTAAAAATTACAAGTAAATTGGATGGAAAACTGAAAACGACAAACACACCAATTCACACTGCTCAATGATTCAATTATTGTCATTAAAGAATTACAGGACAGTCGGGGTAACGACATAGTGTTTTCACAGTACTTAATTAACACTACGTAAACTGACCAATTACTCAACGGTCTCAATCTGGAGATTCATAATTACATGTATGTCCAAATTATATCCTTTAAATCCTAAATGATCATCCTTTGTGCAGAGATTTCTTTTATTAAAATAAATTTTTTAAAAATGTGTTCAATTTAACAAATATTTTATTTTTTCCGATTAACCGATTACAGATTTTCTAATCGATTGCCATCGTTCCGACCGAGTAATCGGTTAACCGGTTACAAATTGCCATCCCTATTAAAAATACATGATGGAAAAGATATAAATAAAATGATATAATTTTATTTCTCAAAGAAAACAACGCTTCGTGATCGGGAGGTCGTGAGTTCGAATCTCGGCCGCGACTGACCTAAGTTGATAAAAAATGCGTAGCAACTGTTCCTTCGCCATGCGCTCGGCACTTTGAAGTGAAAGTTGTAGTCCTTCGGATGAGACCTTAAAAACCGAGGCCCTGTGTCAAGGTGGGCGTTGGCACGATAAAGATCCCTCACTACTCAATGGCCCCGAGTGCCGAGTAAAGGTCAACATTTGAAACCCTTCACCAGTATATGGTGACGTCTCTATATGAGTGAAAAATTCTCTAATGGGACGTAAAACAACATACAATCAGTCAATCAATCAAAGAAAACAAAGAGAAAGGATTTTAAAGCGATAGTTTTCATCAATGCACATAATATCACATAATCCATATATGGACTAGAGACCTCAACTCATTTAAACATTATATAATCAATACCATCAACTCGTAGTAGTACTTTCAGTACTTTGATTTTCCTTAAGCTTGCCACTCCTTCTAGGAAGTCATACCTGAGGACCGCCATTGCAGTGCTTTCATTTATATAAAAAATGCACTGCCTTGCATGTGATCTATATATTTTTACATTATTTTATTATTATTATTATTATTTTTTTATTATTACTATTGATAAATGAGAATGGAATCATGACAAAAATACCAACAATATAAATGGTCTTTAAAGGTTAAACAAATATTAAACACTTCCTACTTTTATTTTATTTTTAGACTCGGGTTTTTTCTGTTTATCAATAGTTTATAAATAGTTTTCATTCTACGTGCCACTGGATCGCGTCCTATCAAGTTACCATTCATTAACATATACGTTATATAATGTACAATGTACATATATATGTGGTATATTATCTCATTTGAACCAATGTGAATCTGTGAGACTTTCATTGTGGTGTCTGACATTAATGGACACTTATCTTCATTCTTTTTAAAATTGGTAAGTTAATTGATTAAGTGTATTTCTTGTATAATAACTTTGGCAGGTACATGTATTAGAAAAGCAAAGTGTTTACTGCTTGCTTATATTATTTGGCTCCAGTCTTTGTCACCCCCCTTTTTCAGCTCTTCAAAGTTTTTTTGTTTTGTTTTGTTTTGTTTTTTTTTTTACTGAATTTTATTTAAATATTTTGGATTCCCAACATTTTGGCATCACTGAAGAGATAATTTGTCGAAATGCGCATCTGGTGCTTCAAAATTGGTACCGTATATGATTTACATTTAATAAGAATAAGCATTACTACCATTATTGCACATCCGCATCGGTAAAATAGGAATTACGGTACACAACAAACACATAAAACATGAGTAATAAGAACAAGACGCAAAGAGTTATTTTGTTTGTTTGTTTGTTGTTTTTTTGTTTTTGTTTGTTTGTTTGTTGTTTTTTGGGGGTTTTTTTTTTCACATTAACACCTATTCCATAGAATTGATTAAAGGTGGCAAATGGTGCACTGTTGCAACCACTATTGAAATAACGTTCACTATTGAAATAATTATTTCAATAGTGGTTGAGAGTGCATTTCAAAACCAAACTCAGGTTGTAATCACTATTGAAATAACGATCACTATTGAAATAATTATTTCAATAGTGGTTAAGAGTGCATTTCAAAACCAAACACAGGTTGCAACAACTATTGAAATAACGTTCACTATTGAAACAACGATTTCAATAGAGGTTTGGAATGCAATAAAGATTTCAATAGTGATTGAAATAAGGATTTCAGTAGTGATTGAAATAATTATTATAATAGTTGCTGACAATGATTTCAATACCAAAACCACATTGCAAGCCTTACTGAAAATAACCCCACTATTGAAAAAATATGAGGATAAATTGTTCATCACGTTGTCCAACATAATATATGATATTTATTGAGTTTAATATATGACGTGTAAATTTATGTATTCCTTTCTTTTCTATAAATTACCAGTAATACACGGACATTTTTGATTTAACTGACGTACCTTAAATTGAAAGCATGCAAATGTTATATGCAAGCTTCCACTGAATCTGGCCGACTCAGCGAAAACTTACAGACAATCAATCAATATATATACATGCAAGTTTTAAGCTACTGGGTAAATATTGTTCATCTTTGCGACTGATTTTAAAGAAAAGGATAATAGATACACATAATTGTAGAAATTAGAATATCTACATTAAAAAAAGATGACTGACATCTATGTGCACAACTTTTTGATGAAAATATGGTTATTTTAATAAAAAAAATATACAACAGAGATAAATTCTCGCATATACATGGGTTTGCCTACACTACAAATATGGATAGTAAATCCAACGCCTACTCCCCAAGACATTAAAAACAAAACCTAAAGAGAAATAATTATTTCAATAGTGAACGTTTTTTCAATAGTGGTTACAACCTGTGTTTGGTTTTGAAATGCACTCTCAACCACTATTGAAATAATTATTTCAATAGTGAACGTTATTTCAATAGTGGTTGCAATAGTGCACTATCACTTACTGCCACCCGAATCAGATTGAAGACGGCGGATATTTTATTTGAAGGTCACTATCGCAGTGCCTTATAGAATGGCATCCTTTTAATTCATGAAAGCACTGTTACAAAATGTAATAATAAAGGAAAATGTAATGAACTGATATTACAACAGTTTGCCTTATTACATTTAACGTTAAGTCAACGCAAAGTGTAAAAACAGACTTTTTTGGATTATTACATTTTGTGATATTACATCTTGCGTCGAGCTTAACGCAAAATGTAATATCTTACTCTATGGATGAAATGTTAAAATTATGTTATTATTGTAGACTTATTTTAATCACATTTTCGCATGTTTCAAATATATACCAATGCTAGATTATATTCAAGCTATAAATACATTAGTTCATTCACATTTTGTGTTCCTTAACACAAATTTTATTAACGCCAATTGAAATAGTTACTTGTGTTACTAGAAGTAAAATCTTATCCCTCCAGATTCAGGAAGAAACTATTTCCCGAGACGTAAAACCGTAGATAAAAGTAGATCTTAATGGATTTATATAAAAACATTTTGAAGTATAACGAAATTATGGTTACAAGGATAATGATATTTAGTTAAATAAACTTTACCTCGGGATCAACGTCTACAAACGTGAAATTAAAGAATATATTGGATATGATAGTCAATTAAATTTCCATAGGGAAAATTCATTAATTGCAATATATTCCCACATTCGATAAAAATGCATTTTTTTGTGGAGATAAAAAGTGATCAATACATTCTGCAATATTACATTCGGCGTTAACTTCGATGTAAAATGTAATAAAGCAAAATATATTAGTCAAAAAAGTAGGGGTTTTTACATATTGCGATTTTACTTTCTGCGTTGACCTCGATGCATAATGTTATATATATATATCACAGAATATAATAATCTAAAAGGTACGGTATTATTACATTCTGCATAATTACATTCTGCGGTTATCTCGAGGCAGAATGTAAAAAGACAAAATATATATTTTTTTGTTGTTATTACATTTTGCGTTGTTACAAATTACTTTTATATTAAAATCAACGATCAGAAATAAAAGCATAGGTGTTCGACGTGTAACAAGTATAATAATATTTGCAAACAATCATTATTACTACCAATAACAAATTTTAACTGTACTTATAATTCAAGGGCTCAAATAATTCATTTTATTTTTCTTGCATTTAAATGTATGCTTTGCTCAAGTGTGTAGCTGATAAGATGTGACCCTCTAAATTCGCGAAACCGAGCTGAAAAGGATACCCGTTTCCTAGGAAAACGACCAGTCAACTGCTGATCTAGAGAATTTCACCACTTATAATTTGGAGCTTTAGAATACAGCACTTTAGTTCTATGAGGCGAACTATAGATTCTAAAAATTATCTATTGTGAAGAATGAAAATTATATTTTCAATTTTTGCACGTTACTAACATAACTAATGCTGATAATTATTTAATATGTTAATTTTTTATGATTTTTCATAGAGTTCGGTTAATTTGGACTAATATTTCGTTTTCATTAAAATCAAAATTAAAATGAGTAATTTTTATCAATCCTTGATGTATCTAAAAAAAATTTTTTTTTTTTCATTTAAGATTTTAAGAAAATCCGCCATGCATTAGGTTTCTTAGCACAGTAACCACTTTTTTATGACAACATTACAGAGTGGGACCTGCGTTTGCCCAAAATAAAGTGGCCTTGTTTTATGCCAAATTATCTCGGTTTGACCTACGTTGGATCAACATTACATGCCCACCGTATAGTAGCCATATTTCACACCAACATTTACTTCTGGATCAGCATTTGGTCAACATCACTTAATGCTTTCATGCCAGCATATCATGTGTCGGGTCGACGTTGAACCAACATTTATTATCCCCGGTGAGCAGTTCGATTGTTGGGCCAACACTGGACCAATATAAACACTCTTAAAAAGGGAACACTTATGCTACCACTGGGCTAACGTTGGGCTAATGTACTATTACTGTTACAAAATTAAATAATCGTCTTTGTTACTGGTATTACACACACTGGACCAACGTTGGCCCATTGCAATGCTCCCAATTAATATGCACATCATCCTTTAGTTCGCAGTATGACTATTGAGGAAATAAACAAAATGAGCCAACATTGGGTCAGTACTGTGGCATACAGCTTTAAATAAACAACTTCGTTTAGAGATTATTACAAAGGTTGGACCTACTTTAGAATCCCAACATTCCCAAAGAAGTATTGCAAATCGGAGTTGGTTAACGTTGAAACAACGTCTGGCCAACGTAAAAATCTAAACATGGTTGGATACTAGAGAGAAGATTGACATACATGTAGTTACAATATGTACATTGGTCCAACGTTGGTCCAACGCTGTTTACTCAACGCCAACCATCGGCCAACCTTATAACCCATCACAGTTAGCCAAACACAGTCATGCAATCTTGGAAGTGTGTCAAGAATCATTTCTAGCAATACAGTTTACTTGAAATAAAACCAAGATTTTTTAGCATCCAAAAATTGTGTAAGTTTTTTTTTCTCTGATTATTTCCAGATCATAATTTTTTTGTCAGAAAGTATCACTCAATTTTCTTGAAAATCTTTTGAAGAAAATAATACGTCGCAGAATCGAAAAAAAAAATTATTGTTGATCGTTAAATTATTCTCATTTCTATATTTCTTTAGACATAAATATATCATATCATTATAGAAAATGAGATATATTTACAAGTGTTCATTAATTTGCCATTGCCTAGACAATCAGTTTGTTTACGTTTTGTTTCTTAAAGTTGACTGAACTAACTTAACGTTTAAAAATAAGATTGGGGAATGCCTGCATCTATTAATAGCGAGTGGCACACTTTTATAGATATCAATACAGCCTGAGTATTCATTAAAAGCTTAATTTCATAATCCCTAAAGATTCCTTTTGATTGAATTAGGACGAAAAAAAGAATCCCAGATACCAATTTGAAAGCAATTGCCTACAGCAAAGACGTTGAAACAATGAAGTTTTCTGAAAGTTACCTATATAAGTTTTTGCATGCGCACGGATTGAAGCCAAACTCATACTTTGCAAAAATTACATTATTGTAACTCCAAAACAGAGATGATATATGCATGCAGCTTAAAACAAAAAAAAAATGTTTATTTGGTGCCCATTTCGTTGCTGACCGAAAGTATTTCTATTATGAATTCCGTCGAAGAGTACATCAGGCTATGATCTAAAGAAAGATCTGGATACTTTGTCAAAATGGACAAAGAATGTAAGAATGTAAGATTAAGGACAATCGCAACGTGGCATTGAGTTTTATTTTCTTATTCCCTCTATACTTTAAGAGTTGCAATAACTGAAGGACGTTTGTGCGATTTTATGATGCCTGTAAATCCTGTACAACTCGAAATACCAGCTAAAAAATATTTTTGATAATTTCTTCTTTAAAAAAACACGATTTTCCTCATTTGATAAATATACAAGACTCCTGATTATGTGTGTTTATTTCTATCTAAGAACATCTAATAGAACTTTGATTTTAAACTATGAATGTCTTGGAAAATCGCAAGAGGGGAAATGTGTATTGCAAAAAATGCTCACGTAAGCACATTTACACCTCAGTCAGTGGAAGGTGCAAATTTGTTTATTCAAACATGTATGCAAATATTTCATCTTATACGGCGAGCTTTACTAATATGCAAATTATTTACATATTATGTGTAAATACATTGTATACTGAGTCTCGTGTAAGCATGTCTTGCTTGCATATGTGCAAAAAATACTCCTGTAAGCAAATTTCAATAGTACTTGAAATCATTTATCTTTTCCCAAGTCAATACCATCAAGCCATGGTTTTTCTATACTTTATTCAACTATTCTCGTGATTTATTAGACACCAGACCCCGGAATCATAAAACTTCAGAAAGCCAGAATCTTCATAATGCGATGATATGATTTAAACGACAAACAGTCCAAAATAAAAATTATTATTCGACATTACATCAAGCTTACTCCTCCATGGCATCTGATCCCTCCTTTTGATGATTTTAGAGGTCCATGTTTGTTCTGCTCCCGATTTGTATTGTTTCAATGGACTTTGAGTTTGTTTGTTGTTTGTTATCACGTTATTTTATCATCAAACTACAGTTGTCTGCAAATTAAGAGTTTCATTTGACAAGCTTCATAAGCACTCTTAGATTTTTTTTAAAAGTTGTACTTAAGTACTGAAAAAAATCTTAGTTAAGAAAAAATTCATAAGTCATAGTCATATAAATTAAGTACTAATTCTTAGCTAAGTTCAATTCTGAGAAAATTAGAGCACTTAAGTCAAGTCACCTTGGCAACACATGAGAATTCCCGAACAAAAAACGAGCTCTTTTGTGATAGAGGTATTTAGTTCTATGTGTATTACATCACAAGTGAAATGTACTATGTCATCAACATTGCACAATATTACATCTTACCAGTTTGATAATTATCTCAAAGACAAAAAGAGGTTTTAGTTGGATGTAATAGCATGGTTTCTTAATGAAATATTAAGATTTTTTTCTGGGCATGATTATTTTCCTTTCAATAAAGAAAACAAGTATTTCTTAACTATTTAAGACACCTTCTGAGAACACTTTTAAAACTTTAAGTTAATACTTAAGCAGTTAGTATGTTTATGAATTACACCTAAGGATTTCTACCAAATTTAAGCAATACTTAGGGAACTTAAATAAAAAAAATAACTTGAGTGATTTTTTAACTAAAATATACACTAAAAAGTTTTATGAATCCCAGCCCAGGCTTTTTGACATCATAGAGAACTTCTTAAATACAAAATTAATAAAACTCGGAAATTTTTATATCGTGTGATTGGTCATCTACAAAATTACTTTGTTAAAATCATTCTGATTCTACAGAAAGGTCTCCGTAGTTGATATTAAAACAACATCTGTATAGTCATTGGAGACCAGGTCTTAAATATTCCAACAATCCAGAATTCTCTCGATCGGGAAATGAACAACCATATGACAAACGGAAGGACTTTAGTTTTTCCATCGTTCAACTTCCACTATTCATGATCATGTAGTATCATTCCAAGATCAACTCAGTATTATTTCTTTGTCTTCCAACTACATGATTCGATTAGCAAGAGGGGAATGTTCTTAGTACGATTAATTTTTTTTAAGTGAAGCAGGCTAACGAATAAGTTAGAGTTACAGACTTTTCGACAATCTCGTTTAAATGAAGCATTCCGCAAACTCTGTGGTAGTTAACGTTCGAATGACATTAATGACAAAAAAGTCCTTTTTTGGTTCGATTTTCGATTGACGTGTTTGGTTTAAATTGTTACCGATTTTTTGTACTAATTTTGAATTCAGATAAGTTTATCTGATCAATAAAGAGGGTTTTGGGCGGATGTAACTGCATACTCCTCCTAGGCAGCTGAACTCATCTCTGGTGTTTTCATGGGTTCATGTTTTGTTCATAGGATTTCCTATGTGTGTTGTCTTCACCTTTTTTCATGTTCATCTTACTTCATGGTCATTTTATTGCATGGTTACATTAAGCATATTCTTTTTTCTGTTACAGTAAAACAAATGAAATATGGGTGCTATAAAGATTATAAATTGGGCAAAGAGAATGAGGAAAAGAGTGAACAGTTTTAAAAGAAGTTCGAGCATTCTGCCAATGGAGCCAAAGTCAAATATCATCTCAAAGAGGAAATCAAGTCTAAAACTGAATACATCTCAAAAGCAAGAACAGACAATGCACAAGAGTGGGTTATCAAAGAGAACAGACTCTGTTCTAGAGCTCAGCCAAGATATTGAAGAGTTAGATTGCAAAAGTTTTAAAGATCTCAATATGTCAGACATTTTCGCTGATGATGAATTATCCGAAGATTCATACACACCTGAAATTAAAATGGAGTCCATGAGAAACTGTAGAAATTTCTCGACAGATTTTGGTTCAATTCTTCAGAGTTTTGAATCCACGCTCTTGGATTATTCTGGTGAATTTGATTCGAGAACAATTTCTATGAGTCTTTCGAGTTTGACATCAAATACCAATTGTCAGTTTATTGATATTTCTAGATCAAAACAATGTTATCATGTCCTAAATCAACAAGATGAAGAGAGTACAAGGACTATGCCCTCTTTACGTCCAGTTTGCATTGTTCTTCCACAGAAATACATAAATCCTAAGCAATTTACCCAAAACAAATATCACAGTCCCTCTATAATATCTAGAAGTCATCCCCTTAGTGACATTTCATTTGATTGTATTGCTTTGGAGTCATCGCCTCAAAACAAATCGACGAAAACAGAGATAAAGTGTCATAAGTACTTGTTACTAGAGAGAGGGCCTATTCTGATTTGTCGAACTCTTCCAGATAAAGAGCTTGAGAATGACTTTTGCACTCAGACATCGAAGCCTCAAAAGAAGAATAAAGGTTCGAATTTTGGTAATGGCTTTCCAAAAATGGAAAGCATTAATGGATGTTCCTCTTTGTCACAGACTAAATGCTATATGGTGTTAGAAATGGGTCCAGTTCTTACCTGTCCAAAAATGTTTGTAAGGAAGCCTTTTTCAAACCATGAAACTTTGCCATCTGAATTGAATAATGATTTCACGATGTCCGCTAGCGATGGAGGACTTTACAACAGAACAAAACGTAAAAAATATAAAATAGAAAAGAGCAAAACTAGTCTTCCTGCATCTCCTGAAAAGTTAGAAAAGATGCTGAAGAAATTTCTTCTAACCTTTGGAAAGTTAACATCACCAGACAAATCCTCTTCATCAGATTTATCACAGGCTGACCTATTGTCTTTATCCGATAGATTCTTGAGCAATCTGACATCAAATTCTACGTTAGAAACTTTTCCTAAAAAGTCACTTCAGTTGATTCGCAAAATTCTATACTACAGTAACCACGTCCCTTCAATACAAGAGTTAGTTTTTGCATATCCGTTACACAGAATAAATATTACTGAAAGTGAATCTGAGGAAGCTCTTGGAGACCCTATGCGTTTTGAATGGCAGAGGATAAGAAGCTTTCATTCATATCCGACATCTGATTTAGGGGTTTCTATTCTTCACTTAGCTCAGAATGGATTTTATTATACTGGTAGAGGTTCTGAGACGACTTGTTTCTATTGCAAATGTAAATACAGTGATTGGCGGCTTGATTCTGACGTACGTCGCACACACCTTCAGTTATCTCCAGAATGTCCTGTGGCTATTGGAAGGGAGAGTAGTAATGTTCCTATTCATCCAGCAAGAAGAAGGGAAAATGAACCGCAACAAGTCGATCCATTTTTCGGAATAGATCGTTTAGAAGAAAACATTGCAGAAGATGGCGGTGAATCAAGAGCGAGGGTAACGCAACATTCACCCGTTCAGAATAATTCGGTAAACAATCATTCAAACCATGGAAGTTCTTTACCACAAGTTAGGGATGGCAATGATGTAGACAATGCAAGTTCCATCTTACGGGAAATCGAGGGCGTTCGGTTAAGTGGGCAGGGGGACAGACAAAGGGCTGAAAATTTCAGTATCAGCCCTGAAGGCTTTTCGTCAACATCGCTGGATGCATCAAACGAACAAGTCAAAAAACAGAGGAAAAATAATGAATCCCAAAATCAGCGACTTGTAAATTCTCCTCGTGAAGGAAGATTAAACACATCAAGTAATACAGAAACACAGCGCTCCTCAACCAGTACTGCACAAGCATATAAACAAAAACTTTCATCTCAATTAGACCCGCTAGGAATTGTATGGGAAAAGCCAAAGTTTCCTCCTTATGCCATTTTAAGCAAAAGGATATCCTCCTTTGAAGGATGGTCAAAGGACATACCACAATCACCTACAGAGCTGTCCAAGGCTGGATATTTTTATGTTGGTATGACTCTCTCTCTCTCTCTCTCTCTCTCTCTCTCTCTCTCTCTCTCTCTCAATATATTCCAGTATATGTTTTGCATTTGACAGGGATGAAAAATTTCTAAAATCTCTGAAATCGTACTTTAAAAAAATGGAAAACTTCCTACAAATAACATTACTAGTACTTTCATTCGATTGTCGATCATATTTTGATTATGAAATATATGTATTTAGTGACTGCTGATTTGATCATAATTTTTCACTCACAATTGAAGGTGTAAGCGATTATGTGCGGTGTTTCTTTTGTGGTGGCGGACTGAGGAACTGGGAGAGGAGTGATGTTCCTTGGGAAGAACATGCTAAGTGGTTCCCACGGTGTGCTTTTTTAAGAAATGTTAAAGGAGAGGAGTACGTCTCTCTTGTACAGCGTAATTCCCAGACTGATGTAAGCAATAAACAATGTTTATATTTTTAAAAAAAATAAACTTCTAAATTTCTTTTTCTAACAGTCATTAAAACCCGAGGTAAGTGGGTCCGAACTGCTGTTATTACCAAAGGGTGTGAGCTAAATATGATTTAAAATCTACCAATAAATAGACATAGAATCCAACAAATCAATAAAACAACGAAATAAAGATGAAAAATGTCAGTAACACGAAAAGAACATAAAGTTAACTGTTTTAAATTGGAAACTGGGCGTCGTTAGTGGACATCAGGGGAAGGTATATGATGTAGCTGATTAAACGCCTAAAAGAAAATTTGCGAGGTGTAACCAGTCTGCTTTTATCTGTAGGTGGGGGGGATATTTATTACATGCCACGCCCATTTTTAGACCTGATCAAGCCTCCATACTTCTGCGGAGGATTCGAAAACTAGCACCAAGATTCAGTTTGCACTGAAATCCAATTATAAAGCAATTTATAAGTCGTTAAGAATGGATTTAATGGGCGCGTTATAAATTGACATGGTATATTCTACCCTAAAAGTGACTTTGCACCCCATTCGAAAAGTGGAAACGTCCTTAAAATGCTAAAAAAAATGTGCATGAAGTATGGATCGAATATTTTATCTCCCTGAAAAAATACATACACAGTATATAGGGATCTATGTTGGGCTTTGTTTTTTGACTCCAAGATAGTTATGGACACCTCCCCCGACCCCACCCTCCAAAAAAAAAAAAAGAAAAAAAAAAGATATGTCTATGATTTGTTATAACCAGTCAGTGAGGCGGAAATTCGTCGTTACGTAGTATTAGAGAAAAGTACTCATCATCAATTCTGAAAAAAGGCTGCTTATTTAAATGTATGCTAGTATTACTTACCGAACAGTAGTATTCCTTTAATTGATTACTGTTGTGTTATTTGTCATCCAATTTTATTCTGGTTTTATTAACTTTTAATATTTGCTTTTCAGGATTTTGCTCAAGCGACTGAGTCAGAAGGTAATATATAATTACATTTAAAACAACTTAATTATATGTACATCACACAAATGACAGTACATGTATTTATACCAGTCTTTTTAAAACATGGTACAAAAAGCTTTATAAAGTATGTAAACCAATGAAAATAATCCATTTTATTTCTTTTATATTGGTTGAAATACATTTCAATGACGGGTAAGCATGGTTAAGTTTTATATGTACAGCATGTTATCATAGCGATCTTTTCAGTCCCAGGAGCAGATCAAAACCACTTAATCTTTGAAATTCTTGAGGAAGAGGGATATCCCAGAGACAGAATCCAGTCTGCCATTAATGCATGGAAGCAAAGGCGAGATAGGGGTAAGGATTATATTAAGGTCCATCATCTGGCCTAATGATTCTCCCAAAGAAAATAAATCTATGATAAAAATGAACACAATTTCAGTACACCAAGAAGGGCAAAATTTGACAGAAATTAATTTTTGACTTTTCAATTTTATAAAAGAATAATAATTTATTTCTGTGAGAGTTATCTCTCTTATCAGAGGGCCAATCAACCTTAATGGTAATGGGTTCAACATAACCTGTTTTTTTTAAATGCACATTAATTGACAAATATGATATAGTAAACCCATTTTTTTGAATAGAAATGTACTTTTTTCCAGTTGGTTTCAAATTACCGATGAAGGCCGAGGACTTGGTTGACATTCTGGAAGAAGATAGTGAAAGTCCTGAGAATACATGTACTTCATTATCACAAAAACCAGAGGGTAATCCATATAAATAACATGTGGATAAAAATCTCAATTAACATTCTTTTTAAGGACAGTAGCAATTGTTATATAGATTAGTTCATATGTTTGGATTATTTTGGATGTAAATAATGCAAATTTCAAACTTCTAAAATATTAAGAAATTGTAAACTTTCTATGGTTTCAATATTCTAACCTTTTGTTATTGCTCTTATAAATCAATAGAATGATACAACTTTTTATCACTTTACCTGTAAAGGACAATGATTGTGAACCTTTGAATGAAAAATTATAAAACCTTCGTGATTAAATTTAATAATTTTACTATATAAACATGACGTAAGTTGTTATTTTCATGATTTTTGAAGGAAAAAAAAAAGTTTGTAGCATGCCTTTATTGAATGACACTTGTCAAATTCTAGAGGTTTTAATTGCAGAACTTCAAACACTCCAGACAGAGTTCTCGTTCCTGCAGTCCACATTGCTGTGTAAGGTCTGTTTTAAACAGGAAGTAGGAATGGCTTTTCTACCCTGCGGCCATCTTGTCTGCTGCAAGGAATGTGCACCAGCTGTTAGGAAGTGCATCCTTTGTGATGTCATTATAAAGGGAACCGTCAAGACCTACTTTTCTTAAAAGTCATAAGACATTACTAGTTTCAACATAGACATAAATAACTATGTTATTTATGTCCCTGGTTTCAGAAGAATTAGTCCAAGACAAAATTAGACCAACTGCACCATTACTTCCACACTCCAAAAGGGGACACAGACCAATTCAAAAATCATATGCAAACAGCTTTTTTGATCTTGTGTGCCTCAGCAACAGAACAAAGCAAAAAGCAAATGCAGCATTTTGTTCATGCCTGCCTTAGCTACATTTATTTGTCCTGATACTGGTTTTCATTGCAAATTATACACAAAATGATATAAACAATTGTTCTCCAAGATTTGATTTTATTGTATGTGTAAGAGAAAAATAATTCCAGTGTTCAATTTTGCTTCATTTGTACTCTCAACTGCTCAAAGAAGAAACTGCATGAAAATTTTAGTCATTATGCACATGCAGGGACATGTACACAAGTCCCTGATACATCTTAGAGTCATACTTAACATCTGCGAAAATTTAAATACCAATGAAAAAAATTGAGCATTGTGATGACCTATATAATTTGCATATGATCTCAATTTTCTACTTTATAATTTCATGAAACTGTGTTGAATGTTATCATTATGGGAACATGCAGTTTTCATGGATTACATTATATTGCTATATTTAAATGTTAAATAATGTGATTTGGGATATGTGGTATTTTACTGCTTAAATATGCTTTGTTTACACAGGTATCATACATATCATATGATCTTGGTTTGAAAATATACAGGGAAATTAGAAATAAATACCCAAAAATACTTATGCCTGAACCAGCATAATAACATGGAGCAATACACTGTATATGTATTGAATGTTTTAATATCAATAAAAAACATACAAATTTGAAACTTGAGTGTTTATACATTTACAAATTATTCAGAAGTTTTATCATATTATTAAAACAGAACAACCAATGAAGAATTCTGGATTTTGATCATTTGAAAAAGTTTCTTTACCCTAAAAACTAATGTATTTTACAGGAGAAATGCCTGAACAAAATATAAACACTACACTAACATATTAAATACATTGTAAATTCACGTGACTAGAGGAAAGTTCTATATAAAGCTGACATGTAACATGTATCACAACATTTCCAGTCTAATTATACACAACTACATTTCTATAATCCTCCACAAAAAGAGTAGAGTCAAGCCATCAAATTTGTGTCAGCTCAGTGTCACACAAAGCCCCCCCCCACCCCCCCCCCCCCTTCCAACATTCATGTTTAAAGATTTGTAAGTCAAATGAAGTAAAGATATCGATGGGTGTAAATGAAACTAAATATAATGTCATCATATTGATTCTTTTGTTTTCATGAATTAGTTCTACAAGTCATCAATATCAATTGACATAACAAAATCAGCTCATTAATACAAACACAACAAAAGTGAATAATTAACAACTTTCAAAATCTAAGGGCACTTTCTTTCTTGAAGATTGATTAAAATTTTAAACATGAAATATGTGAGTCATCAATTTCAACAGACATATTAAAAATTAGCTCAGCCAAAAAGTAAATGAGTAGAATTTACAGAAGTCTAAGGGCAATAACTCTCTTGAACATTGGCTAATAAATACATGTATGAAACTAAAGAAAAGATGAAACAGACTTTTTTTTCAAAAATGAGTTCATCCACATAGATTTTACTTCTTCATTCAAAAATTTTGCAAATATGTCATATAAAGTAATATACAGTTGTATATTTTTATAAGGGTGATGGCAGAAAGGTAAAAATTTTGAACAATTCACAGAAAGTTTACAATTTCTTATTTCTTTTAAATTTGATGTTTGTATCATTCATAAATAATTAAAAATAGGTTCTAAAATATGAATATCAATCCATACATCCATTTTTTAATTTTTTTTTTTTTTTTTTTTGGTATCAACTGTCCTTAAATTTTACCTTAATAATTAACTCATTAAAATCAAGAGACACACCAACAATTAGCCCATTATATACCAGCTCAACAGTCAAAAATTAGAAATTTTCAAAGGTCTAAGGGCAATAACTCTCTTGAAAACTGATCAATAAACATGCATTTATTGAAGTATTCAAAGGAAAAAAGTTTGAACAACTAACTGTGACAGATGGAAAGGGGTAACACTATATGCCTTGATCATTACATTGTACCTGGCAGGGCATGAATGTGGAAATGCATATCACTACTATATGCATATATTGTAATTATATATTCTCACTTGTAAAGGATATCACACAGTGATATCTCTAAGATATATGTAAATAATCTAGATACAGACTTGATATAAAAATTGCAGTAAATTTAAAAAGAATATATACATGAAAAAAAAATACAAATACAATTGTATGCATGTGAAATCATCTTTTTAGACTAAATAAAGCAGTCAATTGAAAGCAATTTTGTTTCTTGTGATAAATTGAACACTCTGTTTCTCACACTTGATAAATATCTAATTTCTCCATAATAAATAAATATCAAACCTTCCAAAGGAAGCTAGAAAATCAAATTATAAATTAAAGTTTCAAAACAACTAAGAACTAAAATTTAAGTCCATTAAAAAAATAAGTTATCAGGGTAAGAAACAATAAACATAAAAGTGTCCTGCAGTTCTGCATAAACTAGTTCTACATTTTACTGGTTCCCTTGCTCCTCATCAGGATCCCGTTCTAACAACTGGCTCTTCAGACTCAGTGGTTCAAGTCGGTCCTCCGGTGGCAACATCTGGTTCAGACGTTCCATCTTAGGAACCAGGTTCTGCATGCTGTCCTTGACCCGGTTAAGAATGGAGAGCGTTTCAGAGATCCGCTGAAACTGGTCGGCATGCTTGTTGTATTTCTTTTGTTTGTCCTGCATCACTCCCAGTAAAAACTGTATTGCACAATCAATCTAAAATCAATTAAAGAGAATACAAGTTTCCTTTGACTTTCACAGATTCGACCCAAAAGGTTTTGAATACAAATATTCTCTGAATATGGAAATTTTGCAGGAGGAACTTTTTTCCGAAAAATATAGTAAACACCAATCAATTATTTTAAATGGACGTGAAAAAAAATCATCAAGTTTTTTTCTTAAGGGATGTGCTTCATGAATATCTACATGTAATTCTAAAGTATTTTAGTACACACTGCTTAATACAGTATTATCTGGTCATTAAAATCACCAAATATTGATGTTGTATACAAATTATATTCTAAAACTGTACTGAATGAAATAAGCTTTCTTTATATAAAAAGCTGCTCTGAAGTTAAGGGTTCAGAAGCACTTATATTTGATAAGGTTGAAGTGAACTCAAAATGAAGAAAGGTCAGGGAATGAAAAATAAATGCATTAAATAATGTTCAGGAAAAAAGATCAGTTCCATAGACCCCTACCTCTTTAATTCTAACACACAGAGCATTCTGGTCAAATGTCACAGACTCAGCCAGTTGTTTTAAATGTTCTTGGTACCTCACACACAAAAATAGCAACTGTTCATGACCCATCTTATCTAAAAGGTCAAGGTCACGAGAGCTGGTGGGAATGTTCAATGAACCACGCATGATCGGATAAAACACTGGAATGGTGTTTAGTTTTGTTAATTCTGGGTCAGGATCTTTCTCGATCACATTGCCGTCGGCTACGACAATGATGTCATGTTTCTGGGTCCCTGTTTCTGTCAGTTCTTTTTCTCTCTGGCTTGGTGGTCTGGATTTCACGGCTGATGATGGGACATTACGAGGTGAGAGCCTGGGAGAATCTGTAATATCAAATCAAAATTATAATTGCTCTCAATGATAATGAAAATAAACATACTATTGCAAAATGGGAATACAAAAATAATGTCAAAACATATCCAACATGTACAGAGCAGAGCTATGATTTTCATACATATATACAATTACAAAGGTATTGTGAAATAACCATTTTTTATGGGGGTTATGTGTTATGAAGAGATCCACAAATTCATGTTCTCCATGAAATTCAAATGTTAAATTTACAAAGCACTGTACGTCTACCAACCATGAAATTTAATCTCCTTGAATCAGTATTTTTTCCACAAACCAGTAGTGCATGATGTTAAATTTAAAATTTTATGTACAGTTTTTTTTTAACCAATAGCTATATCAATTTTATTCTCTTTATAAAATGTGTATATACATGTAGAGTGGAATATATTACTTGTACGAAGTGAATAATTCTTTTCATGCAATTTTTTCTGGTTCTGGCACCTTATATGCTTACTAGAATCTATAGGTTTACTGATGGCGTAGGATGTGTAAGGGATATCCTCATCTCTCTGTGACCGTAGGGAACTCCCTGGGGCACCTGCTGGGAGCTGCTGAGTACTGTGGTCTGCCCCCATTCTGCCACTTCTCAGTTAAATGTACAACAACAGCTCAGCTGAAAAAAGACCAATTTCTTATTGCCTTTGATTCTACATGTAATATATACGAGTACATGTAGCAATATCTAAAACTTGACAAAAACAGAAAATGATTTCATATATCGAAGTATTGGTTTGTCACAGACTAGGAATATATACATGTATATTTGCTAAGTTATCATGGTTATTGTGTCTTAAAAATTCTCAGTAGGGAGGGGGAGGGGGAGGGTAACAACAACCATTCCTCAGCTGCCTTTGGAAAATATTGCTCTTATATGACATATTTTATTGGTTCCCAATAAAAATAAAAAAGAAAATACTGTACTTTTCTGCTGCAAGAAGACTGTAATATGTATGTCATGTATATAGGGGTAATGAATGTTATTAAAATTTGTATCTAAGTAATGTAATGATTGATAAAAAAAAATGATTAAAGGGGGGGGGGGGGTTGCATCGTAGAAGTACGGACCTGTACATTAGTACCTGTGATCTGCACATGAAGAACAGCTAAGTTAACTCAAATAGAAAAGTATCTTGCTTCTTTTCTTCTTTCTGTGGTTAAGCAGAGAAAATTCGGCAGTATAACAAATTTCGCCATTCAGTTTCAATCAAACCAGCTGTTAAATGAATGACACAGAAAAGTGTTATGGGAGTACCTACTTATAAGTTACTGGTGTAAGTCATACAGCATTATTATTACATTCTTCATCCCGAATCAAGCCTCAGTTTCCTCTACTCTTTTCCATACGGATTTCGTCAGTTTACGTCTCAGGTTTTTTCACTTATTTTGACGTCATCATAGTGATTATTTTTGTCAACATCCGGTCATTACCAAAGATGGCATGAGTACCCCAAACAGTGCCAAAAAGCGAAGAGCCCGTGTCCAGGGCGGGTGGGCGGCGCCAACAAACGTGCGCTCAGACAGGGATAAGCCTAAAGCCCCAATAGGACCCGCCTGGCTAGGGAAAAATGTCGACCAGCCGGTGGAACGCAAGTTCGTGTATGAAAAACCAGAAGAGGTCTCTGTTTGTACTGTTATATTTTCACAACTTGGATAAAATTTATCAAACGATAAAATATTTCAATAAATGATATTAAGGAGAAAGACTTGTGACTGTTAACTTTACATTTATTCCAGAGGTACAATGTGATGCAAATGTCAATTTTATAGTGATTCTAGTTCTTATAATCACATGGATGTTACATTGTGTTTCCATTTCAATGGTCAAGTTTCCAAGAAATGTAATACTTTTTCCCTTGTACATATTTGGAAGAGTTTACTATTGTAATTTTTTGTCATTTGACCATTTTTTTTTACTGTTTAAAATGTAATTATACAGAGAGGGTGTATATATTTGTCTAATTTGTACTTATAAATGATGATGTAATTTTCTATATTTAAAGGATAACAGAGTTATTCCACAAGAGAAGACAATAACGTAAGTTAAGAAGGGTTTTAATTAATACACTAGTGCATGTCTCACTGAACATATTTTTAATCATGATTATTTATTTATAAATTAATATTAAAAATTAGAGAAGATGAAGGTTAAAACTTTATGTAAGATTAAGTTAAAGCATTTATGTCAAATATCTGTGGCTGGCAGTCACTTAGATTTCATGACTGGTCAGGACACCAAATCTGTAACAGGAAGGGAGAAAATGTATGGCTTCACCAGGAATCGAATCCGGAACCCCTGCATCTCTAGTCAGTTGCTCTAACCACTGAGCTCTCCAGGGTAATGTCCACTTTAACCATTATAGAAATCTATTCACCTGTGAAGATTTCAGAGGGGCTCTCTAAGTGTAAATTTCTTGGTGGTAAAATTTTTCTTATTTTCTGTTACATTTTGAGCTGGTAACTGCCCTGGTATGGACAGTGTGAAAAACATTACAGGGCCGGATGAACCTAGCATATGATTTTATGTCCCTTTTGTGGGGAAAGGGGGAATTCAGTAAGAAAGATTCATTCGCTGGTGGCTGTAATTAAAAGCTTTAATAAAACACATCAAAGGTTTAGACTGAGGGCATGAACAGTTTATTCCTGGACTGATTTATCACATATTCTTCCTTTCTGTCACATCTGGGTGATGTGTTATGCCTTGTATTTGACATTTAAAAAACCTGTCTTTAATGAACCTGAATTTGTGTCTTCAAAATACATAATTTATACTTGTAATATTGATAAAAAAATAATTTTTTAAGTATTGTGGCGGTCAGACGTGTTTGATCGCTTCTGGCCAGATAGTTCAGTTGGTAGAGCACCTGACTGGAGATTCAGGGGGCCCGGGTTCGAATCCCGGTCTGGTCCGCTGCATTTTTCTCCTTTCCTGTTACAGTATGTTTTAGGTATTGCTAAAGTGAGGACAATTTCTGATATAACTTTGAAGCTTAAGCTACTGTAGCTAGGTTAACGTCGATGTAGGACTGTTACACAGCAGCATTATGTTTTTCCTAGTGTTCGTAGTGGACTTACAATAGTATAACTCAATTATTTGACAGTTTTAAATTTGTTTCAGCAAAGCAGGAGTGTATGATATCAGCACTGAACCATCAGGAGTAGCCAGGTGAGAGGTTATTCAAGAAACATATTTCAGTTTTTGATGTTAATGGTGTAGCTATGATTACAATTATAAACAGAATAATACAGTTGAACTTCGGTATCTTGAACACTAATACCTCAAATACCATGGATATGTCGAAGTGATTTTGAAGTCCCAACCCCTTATTCTTTAAGTATTTTACCCTGGATATCTCGAATCCTCTGATATCTCAAAGTTTTTTCTCGGTCCTATTGAGTTTGAGGTAACAAGGTTTGACTGTATATTATAATGAAATTTCTTTTGAATGCATCTCCTCCTTCAATAAACCTTCACAGTTGCACCAATTTTAAAGTGATATATTACACAGAGATGTATAATTTTGTATTTCAAATGAATTGCAAATTGTAATGTGATACATTAACAAATTTTTTTGCAAGATTTTTTGTTAGCTAACCTGAGCTGAAAAGTGAGCTTTTCTGGTCAAAATTTGTCAATTTTCTGTCATCATTGTTGTCATAAACTTTTCACATATTCATCAACCTCTCTAGAACCACCAGGCCAATTTCAATCAAACTTAGTATAGAGTATGTTTGAGTGCAGAGAATTCAATTTGACATAATAAAGAGCCACAGTCTTTTTCAAGGGGAGATAATCAAGAAATAGTTGAAATTGGTAGGAATGATTTAAAAATCTTCTCAAGAACAACTGCATTAGAAAAGACAACATTTAGGGAAATGCTTCTTTATACAGTGTCGATTCCAGTTTATTCATTTCATGGTCTCCAGGAATGGGGTGAGTCATGATTGGTAATACATGTATTATTATGAAAACATCCTCAGGTATACTGCAGCTTCAAGTTTGTTCCAGTTATACTCTCAGTAGTTCAGGTGGGGCCAAATAGGGGATCACAATTTTACATGGGAATATTTACCAAAAAATCCTTTAAAATCTTATTTTCAATCAATAACTTTAAGGGTCATGAATGGTCATACATATGTATTTACAAATATATGCAACTATCCTCAGGAAGTGCAGATCAAGAGATATGAATAAGAATCCCCAAGGGTTGTAATGAAAATTTCACATAGCAATATGTAGGGGAAAAATCTTTAATTTTTTCCCACAAAAACTACTTTGGAATGCTGTTCATATTATATATAATATGCAAGCATCTTGAGGTAATGTAGGTTCAAATTTGTTAAAATCATGGCTCTAATATAGAAGAAGAAAAAATAAATGCAAAAATCTTCTTCTCAGTATCAGCAGGGCTGTCTCAGGTGAGAATTGTGGCCCATGGGCCTCTGGTCATTTGATAATTCATTACAGCACTACATGTGCTTTCTTAATAATTAATACAAATACAGTGACTGTGTATATTACGTCCATTCTGTTTATAGGCTGAGGTTCTTTCCGATCTTCATTGACCCAGAGGAGGCAAATGTAATTTACGATACTCTGTATCATGAGTTACCATGGAGACAGAGGACAGATGTGAAGAAGACAGGTGAATCTTTCCTACAACCTCGGCTGACGGCGTGGTACGGAGATATTCCATACTCTTACTCGGGGCTCACTCATCAGGCTTGCCCAGAGGTAAAGATATCACAAGTCTTCTCAGGGTTGGTTATGAAAGTTTTTGCAGAAGCTTTTCAATTTTGTTTATATATATACTGTAAATCAGCTATTATTCGAGTCATCTTTTATTCACAAATGGTCTGCCTGAAATCCTTCCACCACTGTTTATTACCGAGATTGGGAGAAACATGGTACATAAATACACAATAGACTAATAGGTTCACAACAAGAAATATTCGCAAACAAAAGTAGTTTAAACTTTGGAATCTCTTGGATGTTTCTTGTAAGCAAATTAAAATTGGTTTACAGTATGGTGAAAATGTCCTTACAATGGCAGCAAACCTCCCATCATACCATTACTGTTAATTTAGATGCTAATATCCATGTTATCTGCAGGATTGGTTAGAATAAGGTTGATCTCCTCATTCATTGAGTGTCACTAACACACTTTGTTTATCATTTCTATCCTTCTGTTTACAGTGGCATCCCACTCTGATCATGCTGAAGGAACGCCTGGAGGAAGTGACAGGGATCCACTTCAATTCCATGCTTGCAAACCTGTATCGTGATGGCCATGATTCTGTGGCCTGGCATTCTGATGACGAACTCTCTTTGGGGCCAGAGCCAACCATTGCATCACTGTCCTTTGGAGATACTAGAAATTTTGAACTCAGAAAGAAACCTCCACCTGTAAGTGTTTGCTAGCAAATTATCATGTACATGATTTGCTATACATGTATGTACCTCTTTTTCTTTTTTATATAATGTACAGCCACCCATCTTTTATGGTATAAGCTTTTTGCTGTTTGTCAGTTTGTCTGTCTGTTAGCTCTGTGTCTGTGAGGCCTTGAAACCAACAAAACTTGTTTACAAATGCATCTTTGGAAGTAGGGTGTCACAAATAAACAGTATGTTACCAGGGCCTCATTTTGGGTATTTTGGCTATTCACAGTCAAATCATGTTTGCATCATTCATTGTTTTCTTTGAGGCTAGGACCATTAAACTTTGTCACGGTGTATGCATCTTGGGGGGTAAGGACCCAAAGTACATCACCATGACTCGTTTTGGAATTACATGTATATGTCTAAATACAGTCAAATCATGTCTGGATCATATCCTGCAATCCCTGAGATCCCTAGGACCACCAAACCTTGTTAATTTATGCATTTTAGGGGCAGGTGTGTCACAACCGCCAAAAAGGTCACTATGGGCTCATTTGGGAACTTTCATGAATATACATAATTATATCATGTCTTGATCATATCTTGCATACTGTGCAGTCTAGGACCATCAAATTTTTTAGTTGATGTTTCTTTAGGGGAAGATGTTTCACAACACAAAAAGTAGGTAACTTTACTCCAGTGGAGATACAAATGTTCAGGTCACACCTTGTGACTGAATTTGCATTGTGTACATGTAGTTTCATTTAGTTAAATCACACCCCTTCCAGTGCACTTTGTATTGTTTTGCCTCATCAGATCTTAATACTGTAAGCACTGTGCATCCTTCTGTAAACTTTACAGGAGGAGAATGGTGATTACACATACATGGAGCACATAAAGGTTCCCTTGATGCATGGTTCACTTCTTATAATGGAGGGGGCATCACAAACAGACTGGCAGGTTAGTATGTAATTAATGTAACAATCTAATTAATGTAACAATATAATTAATGTAACAATGTAATTGATGTAACAATGTTATCAATGTAACAATGTAATTCATGTAGCAATGTAATTAGTGTTACATTTCTTACCAATCCCACATAGTGTTATTACATGTTTGTTCAAGTCAGGGTCCCTTGGACAAGGACAAAGTTACAGCAATAGGGCCATAATACAGTGAAACTTGTCTAATCTGGATGTTTTGTATTCCGAAATTTTGCTTAGGTCCCTTTAAGTAAATTCAAATGCTTAAAATGTTGTCTCATCCCAAATGTTGTCCAATCTGGCCATTTCTATGAAACATTACTAGTTCCTTTTTATCTTGATTGTTGCATGCAAGCGACAATCAAAAAAAAAAGGAGATAATAAAGGTTTGATTTTAATCAGACCGTTTTTGTGGGACCCAAGAACCAAACATTTATTTTGGGTTTAGAAGTCATTTAAAATATGTTTTGCCTGAGAAACAGTCAGTGAATGTTTCTTAAACCAGTGGTGTCCTGAGTAGATGAGTCTTATTGTAAGTCAAAAACATACATTGCCATATTGAAATTACAGTCCTTTGACTTAGGGGCTGGGGATATTAAAACAACATCAGATAAAATGCATGGCCACAATTAGACATAAATATGAAAGAACCCCATTGTAATGTAGCTATGAGTTTGTTCATAGTATGGTCTCAAGAAAGGATGGGGCTATGGCTATAGTTGAAAAAAAAATTGTACCAAAAAAAATTTATTCAAAAGTACAAGAATGTACAGAAGCTTATTAGGGCCTCAGCAGTATCTTTTATTAATTTGTTTTAACAAATTGATAATTTATTAAAACAAATTAATAAATTAATTTTAAAGATACTGCTTAGGCCTTAATACACTTCCGTAAGAATGTCACAATTACTGTAAATGAAAAAGCTGAAATTATGAACTCTAATTTGATGCCCACATAAGGTGTCTCATTCATCAAAAACTACAGAATGGTGACTCAGATGACAGTTGTAGCCCTTTGACCATTTTGTTAAACTAAATGCAATGATCGCACAAATACTAACACACAAGCTTGGTCTGTTCATTTCTTAGTCCTTGACAAATTCGTATGTTATACTCTGAAAAAAATTACACATGTATTTTGCAATTCTTTTGTTCTGTATTTTCAGCATAGAATACCTAGAGAATACCACGACAAAGGACCAAGGATTAATTTAACATTTAGAATAATTTACCCAGAGTAGAATCTTCAGAATTTTTCTACATTGAACTTACCTTTGTGTGAAAAATATGCAACAGAGAAAGATATGTGATGTCTTCTTTTCTGTAATATTTCCAGATTTACATTAAATGCAAAATATTTTCTATGCAGAAAAAAAAACCTTTATGACTGAAACAAATATTACAGGTGCACAATTTTTTTTAACCTTTTGTAAACAATTGAAATAAATGAAAAGATGATTTTGACACATTTTTTAGGAATTAACATTCATAGTATTAATGGTTCTAGGCTAAATTTGATAATAAATTCACAAAAAGGGTTTTACTTCAAAAATAAAAAGAAGAACATAGATGAAATTTCTTTTTATAATAGTTGAATAAAAACATAACTAGGAACTTTTTAGAATGTATCTCATGGGTATGCTAAATTATTTTCAGAATTGATGATTAAACACTAAAAATACATGAATACTTCTGATTGGCTGAATTACAGAAATCAATGTTACATGTATTTATACCCACTGTTTGTTGTGAACTTTTCTCACAGGTTGAGGATACTTTTGTGAACAATATATTATTTATTTTCTTTGTTAGGAAAATTAAAAATGATTTTTAGTGTGGGTGTGCATTTACAGTGTAATAGTTTTATGATGACGTGCGATGACGAGTTTTATTATAATGTTGATGTATTAAATGGGATTGGGTTCAGAATTCTTACGATATAAACATTATGATAGTGATTATATTAGAAGTATTACATTATCATTGAACTTAATATATATTCTGAGTGTCAGCATAACCTTGAATTGAGTTAAAAAATAAAATGTGTTTGCATATGTTATGCTTAATTATGTATACTGTCTAGTCAGTGTATTTTTAAGCATCAAACAAATTGTAAGAAAAATGTAACTTGACAACTCAAAAAATATGTGATACTGTGGTCAAAATCTGACCAAAATAGGAATAGAAGAAAACATTACTTTTGGGGTTTTCTGAGTAAACTACTAGGAAAGGGACATAACTTTTATCATAACAATTTTAGATACATATTCAATTCAATTTTATATCAAATTCATATTACATGTACATGTATCTATGTGAATAAATGATCTGTTAATTGATATCAGAATTGTTCACATTTAGTTACACTTTCATGAAGGATGGACTTTTTAAGGTTTTTTTTTCCAACTATCTCATCAAGCAATGGATTTACAGAGTTATGTCCCTTTTCTATAGTAAATAAATGGTAAATAATCCATGCCAAAACTATGCTTCTCATCATTTTATTTTGTTGGATTTTATATCTTGTATATTGTGTAAATATTACATTTCATTTTTCAGGAAATAGCTTCTTTTGCAATTAGTTTGAGGTTGGGCCTAATTTTTTGCTAGATTGACAAGGCAGTTATCATTGACAAGAAGAATGGTACTGAAAACCACATGCTTCTTTTTGTTTTATATTTATTCTTAAAAGACAGTTTACAATGCCTTTAAAATCTTTTCTGGATAAAATATTTTTACAATGCCTTCTAAATTTCTTTCTCTTGCTACATGTACTTTGTAGCAACTTAGCATTAATGCAACTCTGATCTTTAAAAAAATTAAGTTAATTTTTTAAACTAGAACATGTATAGTTGGCATATTTCTTGTAAGATTTGTAGAATATTAAAATAAATTTGATGAATTTCTTACCATAGTCAAAAATTCTTTGTAGCTAGAAAGGAAATGAGCTGTAGACCACTTTATGCCTATAATCAAAGAGCTTTTTACAAGGAGTTCCATTAACTATATCTAAATGCATCTTCTCAGGCCTCTCCAGCAAGCAAGGAAAAACAAATGTATTTGCATCATCAGATGTTAAAATCTGATGCTAGGTGAAGTCACTTTCTATTTTAAAGCATTGAATAGACAGGAGTTGGTTGTACCTTCTGAAATGTTTTTATGTAATATCTTTAGATTCATTGAAATTAAGCTCCAGATTCTACAGAGTTGCAGAGTAAGGAGTTGATCCTTACGTATTGGGTTGGAATCCCACTGTGGGACATGGAGACAGAGGTCCCGTGTCACAGTAGGTGCTGGCACAAAAAAGATTCCTCACTGCTCAATGGCCCTCAGTGCCATGTATAGGTCAAAATTTGAAGCCCTCCATTAATATTGGCATGTGGTGGGGTCTCAATATGAGTGAAAAATTCTCGTAAATGATGTTGGACAAAAAAGCAAATAAAAAAAGTAAAATTTCCGTCATTCAAAAAATTAATATTAATTATAAACTGATCGATATCTTTAACACAAGATCACGAGAGTGCTGGTATAACAATTTTGAACTTGTAGAAGGACAGTCAAAATGGGGGAAGTTTTTGTGCATGGTCTTCCAAGTTTAAATAAATATAGGATATTGGTTTGGTTTTTCTGTGTTTTTTTTCTTCAAAAAAATTCAATCAAATGTAAAACAAAATAAGAAAACTGGATTTTAATTGTAATAGAAGAGTCCTTGTAGTTGCTGTCTTGCAACTTGCTATTGTCCATCTAGCCAGTAAATAGCTGTGGACTGTAATCTTCAAGCTTTGAAAAATAAAGAAAATTTGGATTCATTTGGTTTTCTGTTTCTTTTTTTCTTCATATAATTTCATTCAAATGTGAAACAAAACAAGAAAGCTTTTTAAAGTAGTGAAAATCCTTTTTCTCTGTAGCAGCAGCTGATAATCTGCCAAAGAGACTCAAATTCTGTGGAATCATCAATATTGAAGTTTGTGGGGGATCAATGTTAGTGGATTTCATGGGTCACCCTTATCCACAAATTACATCACCACGAACAATTATTTTGTCAACATATTTATTCATTGAATCTTCTTTATATATATTTATACAAGATACCCACGAAATTATGTCCCCCATGAACCAACAAATTGTTGCTTGCCAACGAACATTGAATACTGTTCGTTATCTCCACATATTTCATTTACAACACACATAGCCGTGTAAAACAGAGTTATATAAGACACGTAGATGTGTCAAACATATTCAATATCATATAAAAACTCACCTAGATGCCAAAAATCTTTAACATATAGTATATAAGCTCATAATTAGCAGTCACTTTTAAACTTGAATTCGCACTGAAAATGTTTCTACTTTATCTCCTACTGGCATCTATTCTCATTACAATCACATTGAAAGCAACCTTTCTTTCATGAAAAACATTATTCCACTGTGAACCTCTGACAAAAGATCTTGAAAGATTTTCGAATTCAACATACTCTTTAACAAAATATTTATATGTTCCATCTGTTATTACTATACCTGACCAAAAGGGGAGATGACGTCCATTTAGGTACAACCAACATGTACACCCCTCTAGCTTTACATGCCGTCAAGTGAGCTATTACTTCGGGAACAAATCTAACCGGAGGAACAGCCCAGTTATTGTCTAACTTCCAATCAAATGTAAAAGCATCAACTCCAGCAGACATACTGTCCGCAAATTTTAAATAAAACTTTTTTACCTTGAAATTGAAGGAATTTGCAAACAAATCGCAAGTAAAAGGACCCCACTTTTATTAAACAATTGAAAGATGTTAACATCAACACCCAGTCATCTGCATCGTACATTTTGTTGAAAAAATCCGCAATCACATTTTTATTTCTTGGTATCCAACAAATCCGCAATCACATTTTATTTCTTGGTATCCAACAAACTTCTAAAGATATTCTGAACAACATACAAATCTTAAATATAGAAAATGCAAGAATACGTAATTCTTATTCCATGCTTCCAACCTCAATAATTCTCGCAGCATTTTGATTGTCTGTATGTAGTTTAACATTTTTACCTACAAGTTCTACCTTAAAAGCTTCTATAGTTATTTCAATTGCTTTTAAGTCTCTCCAGGTGGAACAGGTTTGTGCTTCCTCTTCTGACCATCTCTTGTGTACAATTTCCCCCAGAATTTCCACACAGTATCCTGCTCCTGCATGGTCACTTGCATCTGTATAAAGCAATTTATCTGGCAAAACATAATTATTGAAAATTTTCTTAAAAGGTAAATGTTTACAATTTGTTTTCCAAAAATTCAATTCTACACTTGCTTCTTTATTAGTCCCCTACCGGTGAAACTGGAGGAGACTATAGGTTTCCTCTGACTCTGTCCGTCCGTCTGTCTGTCCGTCTGTCTGTCTGTCAGTCTGTCCCACTTAGTTTTCCGCACTTTTTTTCTAAGCTCTTGCAGATATTGAGCTGATTTTTGGTATGTTAGTGTATCTTGATGAGTTACAGAACAATTTTGCATTTCGTTCTGCTTCATTGATTTTTGACGGAATTACGACCTTTTCAAATTTTGAGGGTTTTCCGCAAATTTTCTTCTAAACGCTTGCAGATATTGAGCTGATTTTTGGTATGTGACTTTAACTTGATTAGTTTTAGATCAAGACTCTCAGAATGCTTGTTTAATTTGAAAACTGTGTTCCAAGATCTTCTGAAACAAGTAACTAAATGCATTTGCCGCGTCAAGAACCTACACACAGAACCCAAACTTTCAGAAAATGACAAAAAAAAAAAATTCCTGTAATTTTTGCTAAATCTCTTGCAGATGTGAAAAAATTATTATCTACAATATCATCTATTATAGCAACAAGCATTCTGAGAGTATTGCATTAGCAATACTAGTCCCCTACCGGTAAGTGTAATCTGGTTCCATTAAAAATTGAAAATGCCATAATTCCGTCAAAAATCTTTGAAGCAGAACGAAATGCAACCTTGATCTATAACTCATCAAGGTAAAGTCAAATAACAAAATTCAGCTCAATATCTGCAAGTGTTAAGAAAAAAATTGCGGAAAACCCTGAAAAATTGAGAAGGTCATAATTCCATCAAAAATCTTTGAAGCTGAACGAAATGCAAACTTGATCTGTAACCATCAAGATACACTTGCATACTTAAAATCAACTCAATATCTGCAAGCGTTAAGAAAAAAAGTGCGGAAAACCAAGTGGGACAGACTGACAGACAGACGGACAGATGGACGGACAGACTCAGAGGAAACCTATAGCCCCCTCCAGTTTCACCGGTAGGGGACTAATATGAATAAGATCATCTACTTTGATTTTTTGTAATAAACTTCATGCATGTTTCACAAAAACCAAAGATTTCTGTGGATTCACTCTAACTTCTCTGTATTTATAACAAAACCAGCTTTAATCAATGTGTCTTATACAGCTGAACACTCACAATTTGCATAACTTTATCTGCAAAACCAAATCCATCATCCAAATAAACAATAATGTAAATACCTTGCATTCTCCAAAATCTGACTTAAAATTCCTCAGAACTTTAGTAAAAATAAATGGCGCTGAGGATAAGCCGAAAGTAAAGAAGTAAATACATAAAAATAGCCTTTCAAAGAAAAACCAAAATATTTGTACACTGAAGGATGTAAATCAATGTGATAGCAACCTGATGGCAGATCAATTTTATACATAAAACCGTCTTTTTGCACAAAGTCTAAGGCCTCTTTCACACCTTCAAGTTTGAATTTATAATTTAGAATTTAGAATTTATAACATACTGATTTACATGCCTTAAATCCAAAATAAGGCGTTCTTTACCTTTAGCATTTACC